CCAAACAGGGGAACAGCTTTTCCACCATCTGCTGTTCAAAGAGCAGATCTGTCATCATCCCCCGGCTGTACACATCGCTCATAATCTTGAGCGTGCGGATGTGATGGAACTCTGTCTGCATCAGCTCTGGAAGGAGGACGGATATCAAGGGTCAGGGATAGTCATAATTTTATAAAGGATTCTCTTTCAGAGACCAGCTGCAGTCATAAGGCTAGTTCAGAGTCTAATTCAAACTTTAAAACTGGATCGATAGCTATCTTTTCCCCAAAAGTGTTCTCATCTTAGTCCTCTATTCTTCACGTGTCCTAACACCACTTTCTAGTGATAGGTATGCTGGATTCTGTCAGTCTTAAAGAGTGGTTTTCAGGGAGGCCTTCACTGGATTCAGTATCTCTCCTACTAGACTGTGTTCCTAGTTTTTAGAAATGACTTGTTTAGTCTAGCTTCTAGTGCAGGTAAGGAACTAAATTGTACCTTCACAAGAGATCTTCTAGGACTGCTGTATAAATAAGCACTCATATATAAATAAAATGTTCAACAGAATTTAAAAAAATAGAGTGGGGCAAAAGGGAGAAAAGAATACCAATAAGACCGTATCTCTGTACCTTGAAGTTTTTAAAGAAAGTCTTTAAGAGGCACATACACAGTAACTGATTTTCCATAGCCCAACAGATCACCAGCTTATAAATGCTAGACCATGCAAATCAAATATAAGCAGAGCAAAATGAAGACTCTCACCATAAATCACCTCTTGCCGTTTGACCACATCCTTCTTTTGCTGTTTCAGAAACTTGCTATCCACAATCCGACTCCAGGACTCTGCTTCCAGCTGTTTGGCGTCAATCTCAAAGTCTCCCATTAGTTGTCCTTCATTCATGTCTGTACCTACTCCTCAAAATACCAAAAAGTCAATATCAGAATCTCGGGTTTTTGACCTCTAAAAAGCCTATGCTGGATTTTCCTCAGAGTGATGGCTGACTTTGTAAGACATGAACACGCTGCACTAATACAGAGGATATTCGTGGATAGGATATTCCAGTAGTAGAAAAGAACCAGTGGTCTCTTTGGGAGGTACAGGCTCTATACTCAAGACCTTAGTTAAGAGTGATGAACATCATATAAATCAAACATAATTAAGACACGACTCCTACATGAAATAGGAGCTAGAAGGGACCTGGTGCTTTTACATGTCTAAGAGAAAAGGCTTACAAGTGTGCTGTGAAATCTAGAACTGAATGTGTACAAAAATCTAGGTTAAGAAAAAGCATTTGTACTAAAGATATGCCCATATTAAAATCAATGACATCCTTCAGTGGACAAATAATAGGGTACGTTTGATTATCAGTTCTTCACAAAGCTGCTGAGGCTTTACAGACTACTTATAGAAGAATCTTCACAAGATAAGGGGGAGGCAGGCCCTATTATTCCATCAACACTTATATTCTAGGTTAACTGTACACAGTCTCTACGGAGGCATAAAATAGAGGCCATGACTTCTTCTTACCCTCATCAGTAAGTGATTCTGTTGACTCATTGACCTTGCTGATTTTATTTAGTGAGTCGGTTGAATGAGACAGGAATTTCCAGGTGTTTGACATGTTCTCATCATTGCCAACTCTGGGGACAAAAAGAAGTACATACTGTCAAATATACTTTGATATGCCTGAGTTTGTATTCTTTAATGACTACTTAAAAAATTCTAAAATGACAGCTGGCTGAAAGTACTATAGTGACTGAAGACAGAGTTACTTATGTAAGATACACAGCAACATGCAACACTAAATGAAGTTTGGAAGCATTTAATATTATGGCAAACTCAAAACTTTTTGAGCCTTTTGAGGTTTTTTTGAGACAGAGTCCCTGTCGCCCGGGATAGAGTGCAGTGGCATCATAAACATCACTACAACCTCGAACTCCTGGGCTCAAGTGATGCTCCTGCCTCAGCCTCGAGAGTAGCTGGGACTACAGGCAATGCACCATCATGCCTGGCTAATTTTTCTATTTTTAGTAGGCATGGGGTCTTGCTTTTGCTCAGGCTGGTCTCGAATCCTGACCTCAAGCAATCTTCCTGCCTCTGCCTCCTAGAATGCTAGGATTACAGGTGTGAGCCTCCATGCCTGACTGAGCACCCCCCCCTTATTTTTTTTAATGATATGAAGCAAGAAGAACTTACCCCCTTAAACCATTTATAATTAAACATTATATAAGAAATTTCTCTGTTTAAAACTTATTGCTGGACCGCGACACTATTTCCCCCCTGTTTTCTAAATAACTATATACTGAGCACTTAAAATAAACCATATTATTTGGACTTTATCAACTCCAAATCACCAACTAGTATAGTAGGCACCAATAAATATTGTTTTGACACAAAAACAAGCAAGAGTCCCTTAAAACCTTAAATTTAATTTAAAGAATAATTTTTCAAAGTCACAATGCAAATAAACTTTAGTAATGTTACAACTCTAAAGAGAAGGCTTTTGGGGATAATGAGAATACAAAGACAAACAAAACAAAACAAAAATACCTGAAACTTTTTTTTTAAGGAGGAAGAAACATTAGCCAGCACAGTGGTTAGGAAATACAGACAAAAGGAAACTTTGCATCCTTTAGTTATGAATTTTCCTTCAACCTAGGTTAAGAGACATGTTAAGAGGTGTTTCAAGTCCTACATTTAAGATGACTTATTTATTTGGTGGGAAGGCCAGATGTCTTACCCAAAACAGTCAATCACATCATAATCAGCCCTGTGCTAACCACCTGACAGCCAAGGCCTGAGGGGACCACAAAAGAAACTCAGGGCAAATGAGTGAGTGGGAACCAGTAGTAAATGGCTCACGATGCAACTCCATGAATCTGATAAACGTCGAGAGGTAAGGATAAAAAAAGGACTTAAAGAGAAATAAGACAACCAGGTTTATCTGAACAGCAGAAAAGTGTAACATCTGAAAATCTAAGTGGTTGCAACCAAAAATTCAGAATTAAATCATCTGTTTTTATATTCCTACTTCTTATTCTGATCTAAAATCATTTTTTGAGAACTCAGCTTCTTCAAAAGCAGGTCTGATCATGTCCAAAAAGCCTAGAGAGCAACTGCCTGATAAAGGTGGTTAAAGGAGATGCTTGAGGCCAAACGGCAGTCAGGGCATCAGAAACATAGTCCCCATCCTCCTTGCCTGCACACCCAGCTGGGCACCAACCTATGATGTTACACATGTGTTTCTAAGTGAAGAATCTTCTTGTCAAATGATATTAGTATTATGCTCTTGTCACCTAGATATCAATTGTGCTACCTTTCAATCTCCACTTACCCAGTAATGTTCTGTATGGAGACACTTTTGGAGAGCGAGACGCTCTGCTGGGACCGCCTGTTAGCAAACATTGGGGTGGTAGTGGTTTCATCTGCCAGGAGGACTGCAGACCGAGGGCGCTCCTTGGGCTGTGAGGCTGCAAAGGAAAAGAGGACAATAATTAAACCATCACTGGTCCACGCCCACCTAGTACTGACATCTGACCAATGGCAAACAGAAGCAAGGTGCTTTCAAACAGATTTGCCTTGGGAGTGTAAATTGGTACAAAAACTCTTGGAGGGTAGTTCAACAGTAACTATTGAAATTGTAAAGGCCTATAGTCTTAATCTGGTAATTTCACTTTTAGACTACATTCATTCTACAAGATATACGCGTATATTTTTGAAATGATTTATGTCCAAAGTTATTCAATGCAACATTGTTGGTAAAAGCAAAAGACTGGAAATGACACAAATGAGTACTGAAAGAAGACTGGTTAGTAAGTTATGGTGTATCACACAACAGAATACTATGCAGCTTTATAAAAAAATGAGGATGCTCCCCGTGTACTCACACAGATCTCCATGATATACTAAGGGGGGGACAAGCAAGGTACAAAACAAAATACACAACAGGCCTTCTTTCATGCTTAAAAGAAAGAAAAATTAACAATCCAGGTTGGTATTTGCTTTACTTTAATAAGGGAACTCTAGGAAAATAAAAAAAAAAAACTAAGAAT